CACTTAGTATGCTGGAGGCTATTACGAGTTCACCTTAGTCGATAAACGCGAACGATACTTTTACCAGCTTCCAGGAAGGCTACCTTGAATCCAACGGTAAAACAGAAGTCTTGGTAAGCGTAGAAAGTATATTCTACAAACCACCAGCAATCCAGCTACAATCAAGCATACAACTCTCGTTTATTTATACAACATAACAACGTCCTTGAGACAGTTAAGAAAATAGCATACTAAAATACACTGCTAGCCAATCACAGCCATTGATTTTCCTGGTGGGAATTGAAATCTCAAGGTCATTTGATCAGCCCCTGCTGGCGAAACGTGAAAACCAAAATACGGCATTATCCAGCGAATTTTGGGGATCTAACATCCCCAACACTCCTCCCCTTTTTAATAGCTTGTTTCTCCTGGGGTCGACTTGCATCTTGACTATTGTTCGCCGCTGTCTGAGGGGATACCTTCGGGAACGAAGAACAGCTTGCTGCTGAGTTTCTTCTCGTGGCGGGGCTCTCGGTTAGTTGAATGTATCAAGCAAGATGTCAAGGGGAAGGCTTTCTGCCTCTTGATGGGCGATCTGGGGCTAGCCGTCTGCGTATCTGATTGCGATGACGTGACCATTTATCACCTCCTACCTCTACTTCGTACATAACTCGACCAACCCTTCTGACCACTCTCGCTTCTACCCAAGGACCATGGATCGTTCTGTAGTCGCGGGCAAACACAGGGCATCCCACCTCGTAAGCGGATTGTCATTGCTGCTTTGTCTCTAATGATGATGGTGCATTGGTCGGATGCTTCCGGCGGTGGATCGTTTTCAATCTGCTTCCCATCAGGATCTCAGCTGGGGACTTTTGCTCCGGTAACAATTCATTTGGTGTTGTCCGATAGACGTACAAAAAATTTTGTAACGTTTCGGCTGGCGTTCCCCTCCCCTTTTGACTTGAGCAGTGCTCTGTTAAACGTATCCACACCCCTTTCCGCCTGCCCCTTCGATTGCGGGTGGTATGGTGGCGAGCGTAAGTGTTTAATAGCTAGCCGTTGACAGAAATTCTGGAATTGGGAAGAGGTGAATTGAGAGCCATTGTCGGATACGATCACATCTGGTATGCCATTCCGTGAGAAAATTTCAGTTAGGAGCTGTATAGTCTTAGTTGTAGTGGGCGGCATAACGGGGCTGATTTCCGGCCATTTAGAAAAGGCGTCGACGACAATTAAATACATAGTTCCATTTATTGGGCCAGCGAAGTCGACATGTATCCTGGAACCAAGTGATGACACAGTGAGCACGTGTATCTCTCTCTTTTCCTCCTCCCCCCCCCCCCCCCCCCCCCCCCTCCCCCTCCCCCTCCCCCTTGTGTTGTGAGAGAGATTCACGTGCTCACTGTTTCATCCTTGGTCCAGGATACATGTCGACTTCGCTGGCCCAATAAATGGAACTATGTATTTAATTGTCGTCGACGCCTTTTCTAAATGGCCGGAAATCAGCCCCGTTATGCCGCCCACTACAACTAAGACTATACAGCTCCTTTCTGAAATTTTCTCACGAAATGGCATACCAGATGTGATCGTATCCGACAATGGCTCTCAATTCACCTCTTCCCAATTCCAGAATTTCTGTCAACGGCTAGCTATTAAACACTTACGCTCGCCACCATACCACCCGCAATCGAATGGGCAGGCGGAAAGGTTTGTGGATACGTTTAAAAGAGCACTGCTCAAGTCAAAAGGGGAGGGGACGCCAGCCGAAACGTTACAAAATTTCTTGTACGTCTATCGGACAACACCAAATGAATTGTTACCGGAGCAAAAGTCCCCAGCTGAAATCCTGATGGGAAGAAGATTGAAAACGATTCACAGCCTGATGCATCCGACCAATGCACCCTCATCAGTAGAGACAAAGCAGCAAAGACAATCCGCTTACGAGGTGGGATGCCCTGTGTTTGCCCGCGACTACAGAACGAACCATGGTCCTTGGGTGGAAGCGATAGTGGTCAGAAGAGTTGGGCGAGTTATGTACGAAGTAGAGGTAGGAGGTGATAAATGGTCACATCATCGAAATCAGATACGCAGACGGCTAGCCCCAGATCGCCCATCAAGAGCAGAAAGCCTTCCCCTTGACATCTTGCTTGATACCTTCAACCTACCGAGAGCCCCGCCACGAGAAGAAACTCAGCAGCAAGCTGTTCTTCGTTCCCGAAGGTATCCCCTCAGACAGCGGCGAACAATAGTCAAGATGCAAGTCGACCCCAGGAGAGCAAGCTATTAAAAAGGGGAGGAGTGTTGGGGATGTTAGATCCCCAAAATTCGCATGATAATGCCGTATTTTGGGTTTTACGTTTCACCAGCAGGGGCTGATCAAATGACCTTGAGATTTCAATTCCCACCAGGAAAATCAATGGCCGTGATTGGCTACAGTGTATTTTAGTATGCTATTTTCTTAACTGCCTCAAGGACGTTGTTATGTTGTATAAATAAACGAGAGTTGTATGCTTGATTGTACTGGGATTGCTGGGTGCTTGTAGAATATACTTTCTACGCTTACCAAGACTTCTGTTTTACCGTTTGGATTCCAGGTAGCCTTCCTGGAAGCTGGTAAAAGTATCCTTCGCGTTTATCGACTAAGGTAAACTCGTAGTAGCCTCAAGCATACTAAGTGACGAACTTATCACTTTCAATCGAAACTATACACAATAGGATCTGATTTAAACCATTACAACAACTGTGTTTTTGTTATTGCTAACTCACTAACTCTATCTCTCGTTCTGTATTTTGTGAAATAGTTTAATAGTTCAAAACATACACTGGGAGAAATAATTATTATGCAACCAGAACGGAATTGTTTCAATCAATCACAAATGTCGTATGAAAAATCCTCTCCATCCTCATCATCATCATTATTAATTCATAAATCATCATCGTCATCATCATCAGCGGTGCATTGTAACACTGAAACTATTCATTGTAATAAGAACAAATTGACAGGCACAACATCATCGATGTCAGCGTGTTCTCATTCAAATCAAGCGAATCATCACAACAATTCAAATCATCCGACACCAAAGCGGGAATTGAATAGTTCTACTACTGCTACTGCTACTACTACTACCGCTGATGCTACTGCTGCCGGTCCTTCATTTCTGCATGCATATTTAATGAAAACAAGAGAAGTGAGTTGGGCAAAGTTGTTTTTCTCTCTCTGTTCTATTTCTACTTCTACATCATCTACTTCGTGATGATGCAATCTATATTGGCTAAATGACATTTTCCTCTGGGTCGTTTAGAGAACGGTAAACCGAAAAGCAGCAACTTGAGGTTTGAGAGCGAAGTCGAACTACTGATTGTAGAGGAATGTGATAACAGTAAGGTGTTTCCTTAGGAAAACCATCATCTTCAGCGATACTGTCTTCTCACAATGGAAGGAAGCGGTTAGTAAAGGTCGATCATCAGAATGTTACACTTCACGTTACCTAACGGACTTCCATCTGCTGCAATAAGGACTTTTGAACAAGAGTGAAGCTAACACCTCGTATATAGACTTCCTATAATGCGGCCGTACGTGACCACCCTTAAGCCGTTGTCCCTTGGACTCTGTAGTCACACCACCACATCACTAAGACCTACGCTAATCGGATTTTCTTTTTAGGTTCCTCAAGTAAATATCCTTCCACGGTGTGCTCTTGCTTTTTTTCCAACTTTTATAACGTTTCTTTCTATTAGAATTATGGAGGTTAGTGTGTTTTTTGCACATTTGAAATCATCAGTCAATCATGATTGTTAGACCACCATTAGAAATCAGGAAGAACTGGATGGCCGTTTCATCCTGGTATGGGAATCATTAGTAGTGGCAGTGCATATCCACAACTCCTAGACCTCGCAAGATCCGAAACTCAGGACCTTTGGTCTTGCGCGCGAATGCCTTACCTCTGATCTACTTGGCCGACATCCAACGGTGTTAATTTCTAACGTGTTTAGGATATTAAATTTTTTCCATTATATATGATAACAAACATTGAATTAGTTAGTCAATTAATCGGAGAAAGTAATGTATGTCATTCCTTTGTTTGTGTGTGTATGGGTGTTGTGGCAGTGTCTGTCATTGAAAGGTGTACCAAAGAAGTACATTAACCTTATACAAGCTCTCTACTCGAACACTACTGGTCGAGTGAGAGCTTATGGCGAACTGTCATCGATATTCTTCACCTCAAGTGGTGTCCTTCAGGAGTGTCCACTCTCTCCATTCTTGGTTAACTTTGTCGTAGACATCCTCTTTGAGTTTACATTCAGCTCGTCAGATTTTTCAGGGTTTGACCTTCTACCAGGAAAATCGCTCACTGATATATAATATGCATATGACATAGTTCTAATCGGTGAAGAGGCTGACAAAATGCAGAGTCTTCTGACTACCCTGAGCAACAATTCGAGCATGTTCGGAATGCAATTCTCCTCGTCGTAATACAAAATGTTGCTTCAAGACGGAGTTGCATCGGCACCTGAACTAGTGATACGGAGTGAAGTAGTCGAACGTCTAGACCGCTTCACTTATCTGAGGAGTCTCATCAGTGCTGACGGCTTGGTGTCTGACGAAATCTCAGCTCGGTGGCAGAAGGTTCGATTGGCTTTTGCCAACCTGCGTCACTTATGGCGTAGGCGAGATATCCGTTTGCTGACTAAAGGACGAGTGTGCCGTGCAGTGGTTCGCTCCGTCTTACTTTATGGCTGTGAAACATGGCCAGTGAGAGTAGAAGATATTTGTAGGTTACTGGTTTTCGATCATAGGTGTCTTCGAAGCATTGCTCGTATATCGTGGGACACCCGAGTGAGCAACGCTGTTATTAGGAATCGGGTGCTAGGTAAGAATGGCAGATCAATCGATGAAGTATTGAAACTTCACCAGTTGAGGTGGTTGGGACATGTGTTGAGTATGCCTAACCACCGACTGCCTCGATGAGCTTTGTTTTGTAGTGTAGGAGTAGGTTGGAAGAAAGTTTGCAGCTAACTGTGAAAAGCTAATTTAGATCAAGGAGGGATTTATTGATTTATACATATTAATATTGATACAAAGGGTTTGCTTAAATATTTATTCACCACACCATTCACTGAATTTGTGGGTAGGTCTGGACTCTGTTCAGACGCCGAAACTGACGGAGATCGCTTTCTTAAGAGGGTCACTCCATCGAGCCTTTGATCCAAAGGTCTAATCTACAAGGTGGCAGTAGAGCAATATGCGTGAGTCCCATAGATATAATTAAACTTCATTAGCTTGTATAGAACTCAAATGAAGTGAAATTACATTGAGTCCATCATTGTTGGGTATGTTAGATCCCCAAAACTTGCTTGTTAAATGCCTTAATTTTGGATTTCATGTTTGCCAGCATCGGCTGATCAGTTGACCTTGAGATTTCATTTCCCACACAGGAAAATCCATGGCTGTGATTGGTTGCTGTGTATTTTAGTGTGCTATTTTTGTGACTGTCCCAAGGACGTTTCTATGATGTATAAATAAACGAGATTTGTGTGCTTGAATGCATTATGCTTGCTGGGTGTTTGTAGAATATACTTTCTACGCTACATCAAGACTTTTCATTAGTCAGCAGACCAGGGTAGCCTACGTGGACGCTGGTTCATTGTCTCGTTCGCGTTTACCGACCAAGGAGAACCCGTAATAATTTCAAGCATACCTAGTGATGAATCTAACAATCATTCATGGTATTCTGTAAATTTTTTTCTAAATGAATCAAGTTACTTAAAAAATTTTTTTGAAAGATTAGCCCTTGTGTATTTTGGTTAGCTCTTTTTGTCACAATATTAATGGTAATAGTGGATTTAAGAATCTTGTAGGCAGAAATATCATTTTCCCACGAAAAAAATAAAACAAACAGAAAAAATCAACTTTAAAAATAAACAATTTTTGTCAAAACAAACTATTTCATAAGATGAAATATTGGTGGGAAATACTTGAAGATAAATTAAATTCATAGTTGTATTGAAATTATAAATCGATCGTTATTAGATTATCGTTGGAAATCTAAAAGCATTGAATGGCTATTTCTTCGTTGTATGGTGGAGTCATCGGTAGTGTGACATTGCAGATAACTGAACGTTTAACCTCTTCACCATTGAGCCGTTATTTAACGGTGTTAATGTCTAACTTCATTGAGTGTATGATATTGCTAGGCCACATCCATTGTCTTCGGCGGCTGATTGACTGCTTTAAACCCGATTTGTCCTGTATCAAAACAAAACGATCGTACAGTCCTTCCAGGTTTCTGATGGTGGTGAACCTAACATTGATCGACTGATGGTTTCAATAAAACTCAAAAATCTCCAAAACTCTAGAATCATGATCTTTAATTATAAATCTGATCTAGAATTCATGTTTTTATTCATCTGAATTCTTGACATTGGACTTACTTACTTACTTACTTACGCTTATTACCCACAATAGAGCATAGGCCGTTGTCGAACATTCTCCACCCTACTGTGCCCTGGGTCTTCCTTTTTACTTCTGTCCAGCTGTTGTTCACTCTCCTTAATTCTGTCTCCATTTCTCGGCGTGTTGTGTTCATCGGGCTTCTGCCTTTTCGTTGGCGTTAAGGATTCCAGGGGACGGCTTGTCTTGTAACGCAGTTTAGTGCTTTCATTAATATGTATCCTATCCACCTCCAATGCTTCCTTCCCATTTCTTCCTCTCCCGGAATCTGGTTTGTTCTCTCCCACAGCAAGTTGTCGCTGGTAGTGTCTGGCCGACAGACCCGAAATATTTTGCGTACACAACTGTTAATAAACATTTGTATCTTCTGGACAAAGGCTTTCGTAGTCCTTCAAGTTTCCACCTCACACTGTCTTGACATTTGTGTTGAAAATTCTGACTTTGAGAGTTGTTAAGAGTTAGAGTTGTTCTTCAATTTTTCGAAATGCTGCTCTTGCTTTACCGATTCAAGCCTTGATATCTGCCCATTAATAATAATGCTGTCATTTGACATTTGAACATCATTATATTCTATCATACATTATTATTATTATTATTCATACTTGTTTTTTGTTTTGTTTTGTTTTGTTTTTCAGGATGAAACAAATCCAACTAAAACTCTACGTGTATCAACTCGTTCAACAACCATATCACAAAATCAATCAAATCCAATAGCCAATACAATTTTATCTCCTTTAGATGAACAAGATGATGTTGATGATCAAGATGATTCATCCGAAGAATCTGAATGGTCAGCTCATATTGATGTAGATATTGGTTGGTGGAGTCGACAACGTCGTCGACGAACTCGACGAACTCAAGGCAATACAAATGATACAACAGTAACAGGATTGCATGATACAGAACAATTGAATTCTTCAAATATCATGGATGATACAACAATGGATCTTGATATTGATGAAACAATGGACGAGTTAAGATTAATTTATGAAAATGGTGAAGCATCGCTTTCTTCTGGTCATACAGATACAAATCCGAATGGATCAATGACTGAAGGTGGTACTAGTAGTATCAGACGATCATTACGTCAACAACGTCGTCTTTTAATGAAACGTAGACTTATGCGTGAAGCGAAAAAAGCCGAGGCAAGAGCTGCAC